TCACCGACCGCGAACATCACCACCGTCGACACCACGCTTCGGACGAACTTCTTGGTCCTATTTTCACGTAACGCTCCGCGCCATAACCGTCGTTTGCCAGCCGCGCGACGTCCGTAACAAATAGTTGGTAGCGCTTGAGCATACGCGAAAATCGTCAAGCACGGCGGCTCATTTCCTCGGTGGTCTCGTTCTCGTCCCTGCCAGTGTACATGCACGTACGGTAACGAGCGGATACGGAAGATAAATACGAGGAGTTGTTGCGGATAATGCGAAACGAGAGGGGGGGGGGGGAAGCTGGGCATCCTCTCCCCCCTCGCCGCTCGCGCGCGCGTTCGGGAATTAAATTCGAGCGAACTCTCGGTTCTACCGGAATTTCTACGATGCTCAACTCGCGCACAAATCCCTTTTTAACGAGATAAAACCTTCGGCGATGAGGAGCGGCGGGCACAGGAGAGAACGCGGAAAGGGTAAATTCATTTGAGATTAAATATATCCGACGTCTGTTAAATCGGCTCTTATCAGCCGTTACCGTCAAAGAAACGCCGGATGAAATGTTACTGGATTAATTGTGGCGCCGCAGTAATTCGCAGATGTGCCTTGCGAGCTTTTTCATTTGTTATGTGGCGAAAAGAGCGATGAGACACCGGTGAGATAGGTAGAGACAGGAATTGTTACGCGAAGCGTAACATGATGTATGAAACTTCCAGCTTAACATTATTTAAATACCTTGAACCTTAATAAGATTTTTTAAACAAATTTTGATTCAATACACAGAAGAAAATAATTTTCAACGTCATTTTACAGAATGTATAATTATATTTACATTATTATGTAATATTACTCAATAATCGTGATAAATAACAATAAGAACAAAATCAATGCAAAATTTAATATTTAATAATACAATTTTATAAAGCATAAATTTTAATCTTTAAATATATTTATAATGACAAGCCTATATATAAGTAAAAAAGATGAACTTGTACATCAATCTAAAAGAATTATCGATAAATTTCGTATGAGATATGGTATTCACGTATATTTAACGTATGAAGTAGATCAAATAATATGCAAACGTGTCAGTTATCCCAGAAAAAGTTCCATTTTATTCGATTAAATTCACATCTCCTGACGGTAACTTTTATTGATTGTCTGAACTTTGATAAATGAATTGAAGCCGAATCAATATCGCCACCTGTGGCACTAATGTATAGTTAGTAATGTTATAGAAACGTATATATCAATGACAGTAGACCATACATCAGAATGTACGATTATTACCGCGATAAAACTTCACCTCGATTTACCTTAATGACTTTCACCCACGGCATTATCAAATAATTTAGGATCCATTCCCTGGTAACAAGTTGCATTTATTAATAGTGATAACTATCTGAATAAAGCGAAACTTTTACTCGTTTTATTAGTTCCATATTCAAATTGTTGCAATAAAATTTTAAAGACTACGCATTACGTTGATAATCGTTATAATAACTTGTCCACTAATGAAGACCAAAAATAAAAATAACAGTTTTGGAAAAATATATGTAAATCAATAATTAGAGAAATTTTATTATAAATATTATAATGTGTCTAGTTTGGAGGCATTATTATCTAGTGCTCGTGTATTGAGTATTTCAAGTAGAGTTTGATCTCAAATCGAATATATATTTTTCGTAGAATTTTTTCTAATTTTTCGCAACCATCGCGATAGAACGTTTAGAACGATATTAACAAAATTTGTTCTCTCTAAAAAGCCGGAATGTAACGACTCGAGAAAGTGTCCGTTTTTGCCTTTTTCCTAGCAACGGTGGATAGTCGTCCCAAATGCAGGGCGTTCCTCGAGAGTAGTTCATCGTGCGCGCCCCTTGGCTTGCCCGCCAGAAACGGACGTCGAAACCGCACGTTCGTTCGGAAAAAGTTATTCCCACCTACCAGTAAAATCCACTGTACGTGACTTTCCGCATAGTCCGCGACAGACGAACCATTTTCCAACACTTTAACAACTTCTTTAACAACTTCAGTCTGTACATTCAGTCTTATTATTGATTATATTTCGGTGGTTTTGAAATTACTCGAAGACTATCCGAATATTTATGTTGCAACTTTATGCCAACTCGGTTTTGTTTATATTAAGTATAATGTAATAAATTTTTAGAAACCATTATTTCTTATTAACAAGACAATTTATATATATATAT